CATCGTGGCGGACAAGTTGTTCATGTCCTCATAGAGCTCAAGTCCTCCGAGGTCATAGTGCATGGTGTAGGCATTCACTGCTGGTCGAGGAGGAGGTGTCATCTTGCCACGTTGTTTTCCCTTTGACTTGGAGGTCCAAAAACTGTCATGGGAAACCATGGAGGCGTGTTTTGATTTCCCCTTTCCCTTTTTGCCCTTCCCCTTCATGAAGAAGAGCTGCTGGTCCGAGTAGTCGGCCATGTAGGAAGACTTTCCCTTGCCCTTGCCGATGGAGTAGGGTGGATGCCGTCGGTCAGGGCAATCTCGAACAAAGTGAGGTCCACCACATTGAAAACACTTTGGGCCTTGGCCGACTTGACCAAAGCCCCTGTCCTTGCGCATCTGTTGTGTTGTGCGCTGTGCTTCAACCCATGTTCGTTTTGCTTCCATTGCCAGCTGTTCTGCTGCTTGTTCTGCTTGTTGTGCTTCCTTCAACTGGTCATCCTCTTCCTCCACTGCCGCCAGGGTGGATTCACCATGAGGTTCTTCATGCCATTCGCCCCACTCATCATCAGGCCATTGTTCATGCCATTGCTGATCACCACCATCAGGCCACCAGCCATCACTCTCCCAGGAGTCATGAGGATCATCCTCCCAGGATTGCCAGTTCACATAGCCATGGCCACGGCCAGGAAACGAAGAGTGATGATGACGTTGGCCAAGTAGTTGTTCGTCCCACAGGGTCTGAAGAGCCTGTGAGATGGCTTCAAACTCCAACTTGTTCTGGGTCGTGCTGAGGATGTCACGAGTCTCCTCAGCATTCAAACAAGCGGCTTGGAGAAGTCTCCAGCCACGAAGAACTCCCATGATGAAGCTGTCCGTAGGTGAGAGCTCGTTCATGGCCACAGAAGGTGCTTGCACCGACACTGCACGAAGCGAGGGAGGTCCAGCGCTCAAGCCACCACGGCTCGGTGAAGAGCCAGCGCTTGCTCGTTCAGCCGGAGCTGAACCAGAGTTGCCACCTGCTGCAGCCGAGGCGCTAGTAGTGGTAGTCGTTGGAGCTGGGGCGTCATCGCCAGGAGGTTCATCCAAAGGCGTATCGCCATCAGGAGAGTCGACTTCGTTGCCATCATCGTCATACCACCAGTCCCATTGGTCTTCAACCGGTGGGAGGCCGAAGTCGAGCTCGTTCTGGTCGATGCCATTCTTTTCCTCCCAAAGCCTCGTCAAGGCCTCAGAGAATTCCTCATAGCCTAATGTTTCGCGTACGAGGAAGTTGGCCATACTCTCGTTGGGCTGTCGCCTAAAGCTCAGGTACTGCTGAAGGATCGCGGCCGTGTTCGGTAGGGTGCGCCGCACAAGCGGCGAGCCTGCCAGCTTCCGGAGCAGAGTCAAGGTTCCATCCGGGGCGTCGAACTCGCCACGGTTCCATGACATAGCCAAGAGGCATGCAGGTCCTTGAAGTCGGCTGATGAGGCGAGAAGCAACATAGCGTCTCTTGTGCACAGGTGTTGATGAGACATACCATGCCACTTCTTTCGTGTAGCGCCTCCAGCCACGAGCCTGTCCATCCCATGTGGGGACTGATCCGTCCCTCGGTTCCGCCATGCCACCAGGAAGGTGCCGAAAACAAAGTCAAGGAAAGGTCCGGCAAGGTCCAAAGCTTGCCAGGTCAAAGTCAAAAAGGTCGCCTTCTTCAAAGGCCAGGAAAAAGAGCTCAGCAGTGCCAAGACACCGGAGGTCCAGAGCGAAGATGTCGGTAGACCACCAGCAAAGTCGAGGAACACCGCTGCTTGAAGACACCGCCAAAGAAGACAAAAGCGATGATCTTCAAGTCGAAAAAGGTCCAGGAGCTTTCGCTCCGCTACCAATGTAGCAGGAGCGCGCCGGGTGGCGTAGTGGGCTTCCCTAACAAATGGTCGATCGAAGGATGTCCTCGGTAGGACAGCGGTCTTTTCCACGAGCCCGTCGGCTCAGAGTCCAGCCATGGTCGAAGGCTGAGGTCAAGTAAAGGGGCCCCTTCCTGTGAAAAGGGCGGCGGACATGGAAAACAAGTCTCACTCACAACCTGAAGGACGAACGAAAGCTGCAGAAACCCCATAGCCCACGGTGGCATCGGCGGGCACGGGCAAAAAGAAGCCGCGCTCGAGCTCTACTTCGGTCCTACAGGTGTAAACCTGTGGTGCGGTTGGGCAGCTCGGGTGTCCAGGACACTTCAAAGCGCGCTTGGCCGTTCTTGGTAGAGGGCTGTTCGTTTTGCAACTGTAGTCTCGTGGAGAAAACTTGCGTCCTCTTTTGAATGCCCCCAACAAATGTCAACGCTTTTAAAATAGCCGAACTTCTGCCAAGCAATGTTTTAAAACGAACAGACTTCATAAATACAGAAATGATCAGTTTCAGGCTTTCCGCTTCCAAAGAATGAGAACATCAAAGCAGAAATTGAAAGAACAAATTTCCGCCAAACAAAGTAACACAAAATAAGCAGCTTCATAACTTCAGAAATTGTTGATTCCGAATCTCCACCAAACTATGTAAAAGGTAAAGTTTTCAGAATTTCGAATTTCCGCAAACTATGCAAAAAAATCCCCGTTCAAATTTCCTTTAAAAAATCAACCTCCCTGGGTAACAAAAAGAGCTTCGATATTGTAAAGAAAAAAGTTTGTTTCCAGGTACCCGTTTTTGTGGGTGTGGGGAGGTTGCTTTTGTAAGGGCAGCATTCTTTCTCGGGGCTGTTGATTCTGTAAGGAATCGATATGTTGGTATGGATGTCAAAAGTGCCGCATTGGTGAGGGTGGGGTCCTTGATTCTATGCAAGTTTGAGGGTGGGGTGGTTGTCATGGACAGTCGATTCTGTAATCGATTGACCTGTTGTAAAGCATGGACAGTTGATTTTGTAGTGGGTTGAGCTGCTGTAGAACATGGTCTTCTAAATTCTCAATAATTCGCAAAATTTTTCATGATATATCATAGATAGGATATATTTCAACACACACACACACACACACGCACACCAGGCATCCCAAGAGCCTCGTTGAGTCTCGCTGCTGAGTTGATGTTTAATGAAAGTGTTCTCTTTGAGCCCAGTCTATCCCACACTTCAAGGCCTTCTGCTGGAAGATCCTCTTTCTTCTTTGCCTTCTTTGGTGGAGGAGTATCCACACCTGCCGCACTTAAACATCTAGTGAGGGCTTCTGAAGGCACTTGTTTCTAGGTTTTTCTACTGTATCGAACCAGTCTGATAAACTCTGTCAAAAAGTCTCCCAACAGACCCATTGAAACCCACGCTTCACTTGCCTTCTGCTTGAAGACTCTTCGCCTTCCGCGCCTGCTTGGATGCTAGAGTTCCCGCACCTGCCGCAATTAAATGTCTATAGATGTCTAGTCAGGGCTTCTGGGGGTAATGGCTTCCAGGTGGACACATGAAGGATCATGAAGGTAAAAGTACCAAGGAAGATGTGAAACCTCAAAGTCCTAAATGTTCAACAACTCCCAACGCAACCCTGGAACCCCCACACTCCAATGCCTTCTACTAGAGGCTCATGCTTCACCTTCGTTGTCGCAGAAATTTCCCCACCTGTCACAAGTGAGCCGGGAGAGAGGGCTTTTGAAAGCCTTCTATCTAGGTGGATATCTACAAGCGCCGTACTTAAGTCAACCCACGTCGCGTGAAGTCAACTCACTGCATGGGCACAAGGTTTCAGCGAGAAGTCAACATCAACCAAGGGACCTGTGAACATCAACCAAGGGACCTGTGAACCTGTGAACCTGTAGCGATAAGTAAACCGAGACTGAGATTCTTGATTCTGTATAAGTGCCTCTGGATGCTCTCTTGGTGCCTCTGATTTTGAAAAACTGTTTCCTAGTGATAGACATTGGGATGCTTGATTTTGTAATCAACTGTTTGGCGCATTGGTCCGTGCTACTGTCTGATCGTATCGTATCGTCTCGATGAGGTCGCGCCGAATCATTACAAAATCGTTTGTTTTTTCCAATCCAGGTTTAATGATTGAGATTTTGTATCTTGTTTGAGGCCTCGGGGTGGTTGATTTTGTAATTGTACTGAGCCATGTCAACAGAGTGCCTATGATTTTGTAAAGACTGTATCTTGAGACTGGGGTAGTTGATTTTGTAATATCGGCTTGAGAGTTGTCCCTTGCCTGCGTCCTGGGGGGTTTGATTTTGTAAGGATTTTAAGATTGGCGAACCTGGGGTGGCTGATTCTGTGGACACTTTCCTTAAAAAATCAACCACCCCTACATACAGCAGGAATTCGAAGGGGTATGCAAAAAATGTAAGCTTGTTTTGCCGAGCTTCCGCCAAACTATGTAAAAAGTGACGCTTTCAGATCTTCAGAAAATGTTCATTTCCGAATTTCCGCAGAACTATGTAAAAATGTAAGCTTTTCACACATTCAGAAGCTGTTCATTTCCGAGTTTATGTAAAAGGCCAAGTTCTCAGATCTTCAAAAAATGTTCATTTCCGAATTTCTGCAAAAACTATTTAAAAACATAAAGTTTTCAGAGATTCAAAAATAGTTAATTTCCGAATTTCTGCTAAAAGTAACATTTTTCAGCGATTCAAAAACTGTTAACTTCCGAATTCCCGCCAACAGGAATGTTTTTCAGAAGTTGTGAAGTTGTTAATTTCCGGAATTCTGCCAAAAGTACAGAAATCGGAATTTCCGAATTTACGCCAAAAGTAATTTCCAACAAGCCTTGGAACCCTTTTACAAACTGTAGCTCTTGGAATCACTCAATGAATGGCCTATTTTCAAGCGACGCTGAGGGAGTGTGGGGGAATCAAAGTTCCGGCACCCTGCAAATGGACTAGATACGCAACCGCTCGCGTCAACTGATCCGATGCGTGACATATTGGACACCTTTTGGACCCAAAAACCCACACATCGCCATCAAACGATATCTCTTCCAGCCCTCATACCGAGCACTCCTCCTCAGCATTCCTCAATCAGCACGAAACGTGCGGGACACGGCGACTGAGCGGACACGGTGCACGTCGGGCAGTTGGACTCCGCTCAACTGGCCTTGGCGTGGCGCTCCTCGAACTCCTCGGAGCAGGGACGCCTGGGGTAGATGAGGAGAGCGAACTCATGTGGGGATTTTTGTGGGGTTTGGGCTGAATGGAAATGAAATCCAATGGTGTCTTGACACCAGTTGCAAAGTTGCGACGGACGGATCTGGATTTGAGGCCGGTGTATTTTCGGAAACCGAGAAGATTTGTTGATATTCGCAATTCGACTCTTTCAGAAACGTGGAAGTCTAGGTGGCTGGTGTGTTTGTTTTTCTTGTCCGCATCTCCGTTGCCCAATTGAAAGTGGAGTGCCGACAGCGTGGAGAGGAGTTGAAGTGCTTGAAATTGAGTCTGGTTGCATTGTTTGAGCTGATTTAGTGGTGATCAGTCATCTCTGTAGGCAGAAAGGGGTCTTGATTGGCGTTGCTTCGGTTATCCCAAAAGCATAGAATGGGGTTGTCCCGATGAAAAACCACCCAACGTCTTGATTGTACGGTCGATGCATTTGCAGAGGACTGCGCAACCGTGTCTGGTTACGTAAATGGCTCTGTGTCGCAACCGTTCGGACCCAAACCTACAAAGGTCACCCGGTCGGTGCAGTGAGTGGGAGAAGCAACAAAGCCGAGACATGCTGAGACGTTCTATCAGAAGGTTTCTAGGGTCTAAAACCAAGGGCCAAGGGCTCCTCACGAGAAGAGGGGGATAAAACTGTTAGTCTGTAGGTGGAGGATGGAAAGGGGGGAAACAGATTGACTTCAAGAACTCCAACGGTGAAAGAACTCGACACCTCTGTCGTCCAACAGGCCGACCGGTTGGACCGATCCGCGGATCCAGACATCCGAGAAGGACCACGGTCCGCAAGTTCCACCAGATCGAACTTCTTGGCGTAGCGATGCCAGGAGCCCCGAACGTAGCTTCTTGTTCCTAGTAGTCATGCCCTTCTTACTAGTAGCGATGCCCTTGTTACTAATATGCCCTTGCTACTAGTAGTTTTTTGCTAGCGATGCCCTTGTTACTATAGTAGCCAGTTTCTTCAACATGCCAGGAGTCGCATGGATTTGGGTGGGTGTTTTTCTCCCGACTTTGGAGTGGAGAATGGGCACGTAACCTTCTTCCTCCGTTCGGGTTTCGGCACCCCGTCAAACGTCACTCCATGGCGTTCTTTCCTGCCGAGGCTTTGAGCCGAGACGGCAGCGGCGCCGGCATCGGCGAGTTCCGACCCGAGAGCGAGACGCCGAAAGCAAAAAGCCGATGCGAAGGCGATTCTCGGGCAATAGAGGATCCAAGTCGTTTCTCATCCACACGTGAAGATCCCTCCCTCCCACAATCATTGAAGTGGATAACCCCTTCTTGGTAGAGGAAAGTAGTCTTCGCAGGGGGCCATTTTCCACTTCCATGATTGTTGGAGGGAGGGTAGATGGTTACCCCATAATGATTTGAATGATCATGCTGTCCTTGGTGCTTTCCTTTATTTGGGTTCCTTAACACTGCTCTGTGGGAATATCTGTTGCTGTTGGTTCCCGTCGTTCTTTGGTCCCAGTGCTCTCCTCGGCTTTCTGCTTCTCGCTACATGGTTCCTGTCGTCGCGTTTTCTCTTGGTCATGCATGGCCGTTGAATTTCTGAGGCTATGGGGAACAGAGGCATGAGAACTATTATAGATTATGTTGAGAATGTCAATGATAATCACCCCAAGAATGGATCGAACAGCTGCAAATGAACACTCACTGTCCTATCCACTTCAAGATAAGTATGTTTGTGTTTTTCCTTTGTGGGGCACCATTGTCCATGGCTGGAGGGTGTGAATGCGGAAGACTTCGGTTGGAGGCCATCTCTATTAAGGTCCTTGATTCATGGGGACTTTCACGGCCTAGGACACCCCGTCCATCCCCACGGTCCATCCACGGGCACTCCACCGGTCGGGTCGAACGCCGGAGCCGCGCCCCAGACGTTGGCCCGAGACATGGCAGGGCTCATGAGCAGAGACACAAAAGCACCCGAAGCGCCGAGCAGAGCGAGAGGTCTCATCCTGAAACAGGTGTTTGGGGAACATGGCGAAGAAATGAGCAAGTTTCTCGTACGAGGTTCTGCGCAAGTTCAACAGAGACCACTCTAGCACTCCGGATCATCAGGATCCTGACGTATTCACGCAACATCCGTATGGCACATGCACCAACTAGACTTAAATAGCGCTCTTTCCCCTGGTTCGTGCACAGGGCGCCCCCGCCCGGCTTTGTATCTTAAATGTTCACCATCCAAAGCGCTGGGCAGTGTAGCTGGCTGGAGACCTCCGAAAACACGGCCCAGAACCAGACCGCCACTCCTGCCATCCCAGCATAGTAATTAAGCATGAATGTCATCCCAGAAGCATCTCTACGGTACCATTCAAGCTGGGCGTGTCCCACGATCCGGCAGTATCAGATACCCATCATCCAACCAAAGTGCTGAAGGACCAAAGGGCAGCACTTTCTTTGGACCGTTGGGTCCTTTTTTGCGCCGTCCCCGGTCGGGACACCCGGTCGGGGCACGAACATCACCTTTTTCGCTGAGGATCTGCACTCCAAAGGACAGGGAGTCACCCGGTCACATAGATGTTTATGGGGGGAAGGAGTCCTCCCAAAAGGATGTACATGTTCCTCTGTGTCCAGAGTTCATTTCCGGCAAGTTTATACATTCATTTTTGTTGGTTGATGATATGTGATATGATGAGTATGGATGTCCCCAGCCTCCCCAATTGACTCCCCCATACATGACGTATATTTCATTGGGAGACCTCACAGGCGACGACCCCTGGGAAGAAGGGAAATAAACCAGAACCCATTGGGCCAGGGGGGCCCTATTAAACGACACACCCAAATATGGCACTCCCATACAACAGATAAGAGTCAGATGCTTCTCTGGCCTCATGGGACAAACTGTGTGTTTAAGTCACGAGTGCAAGTTGCTCAAGTTGTCTTTCCAATTCATGCGGTGGTTCTGTTGGAAGAAATCCTGCAACACCTCGAAGCACATCAAGAATGTCAAGTACCACGGTGTTTTCCTATCTCTGGTGGTTGCCTTCTAATGGTCCTTTCACTACACTGCGCTCGAGTCGCACTACTGGGCAAGTTCGAAGCAATGGTCGACTTGAAGGTCAGCCCAAGCGGGTCAGACCTCATTGGGTCGAGATAAAGAGAGCAAGAAAGGAGAAAGAGATTCTTTGAGCTTTAAGGGATTTGCGTGTCTTTGCGGCTTCATGTATGTTGAGGGGGTCGAACACCTGGCAAATCCAAGTTGATCTTTGGAGACAGAAGGCTTTTGGGATAGTGATATTAGGTTGGAGGCCATCCCTATTAGAAACCAAGAAGAAGAGAAAGGAAAGGTCTAATATTCTAACATAGTTGGAGGCCGTCGATAGTAACGCTTTTGTGATGGCCTCAGTCATCCACTCAGAGTCCACAGCCGAATCGAACGTTTGTGGCTGACCCAGCGACATGGGACTTCCGCGGAAAGTCAATGAGCCGGGAAGGTGCGCTGAAGAGTACGTAGACATGAGACACCATCATCAGTTGTGTGGAAACTCTTGAATATCTAACGGATGATCGGCATCATCCTGGAATAGATCGCACAGACCGATATAAGAGGATTGTAAGAGATTGTAAGCAATGTGAAAATCATGAATTCCTATCTGTGGTGACTGGTGTTGGGTTCCAAGCATTCACCAGGACAACGTCGGTACCATGTCTTGTGGTTTGATGGCCTAGAAAGTAAGACAGATACAGGTTTAAAGAGGGATATGACTCGTGATGTGCTCCATTTTGAAACTTCTGCAGGTGACTGGGTCTTTAGGTTGGTTTAAGTTGCCCACTAAAGGTGTCAAGGACTGGAGATGGTCTTCCAACCCAAGCAGAGAGCTCGCTGACAAGCCCAGGCTGCGCCGTTATGGGGCAAATATGCACGGTCACACTTGGAGAAAAAGTTCAGGCCGGACATCGTGGAGAAAAGGAGGGGCCCAATATTTCAACCTGACGTCAGGGTTTGATTCTATCAGCTACTGTTCGATTTCAAGAAGAAATCGTCTATGGATTGGGGAACTTGCAGAAGTGAGGTGTATGTGAATCAAACTACATCCTTAGTTTGACCCTCTATGCCTCTATGCCCCTTCACACCTTCTCAAAAGATATGTGGATCCCTCGAGGGTTCGTCTACCGTTTCATCAAGTAGCGATCTGGTTCATATGGTTGTGGATCATGTTCCCTGAAGATCAGGCAAGGAGCCTAGCGGCTGAGTTCGCGGTTGCTCTCACAAAGGAGAATATGGACGGCTGTGGTGCTGCGAGGAAGCCCGCCAGATTTGTTAACAGAAGCTACCATACTCCGACATGATCCCACTCATTATCCTCCTGTACGTACTCCACTGATTGCTACTACCACCGGCACTATCCTGCTACTGCTGCTGCTGCTGATGGTACTCTTTGACCCACCACGTCCAAGTCCGCCCATCCTGCAGGTGGTGGGTTCTTCTGCACCCGAGCCAGCGTGGGCTCCCAGTTGTCAACAGTGCATTCCTATCTGATCGCTGGCGGGTGTACGAGGTTCTCACCCACCGGTGCCATGAGACCAGAAAGCGCAAGCCCCCTCCTTCCTTGAAGGAACCGAACTTCCTGGTGTGAAGGGGGACACGAGGGAGGACTCCTCCTACTGGGATGAGGCAGCATCATAGAGCTGTGGTGGGAGGATTGCATTCTTGAATCCAAAATGGCAAAAAGCTAGGATTGCCCCCCAAAATTAAAGAAGCCCTTTCAATGAATCTAGCACTCTGTTGGGCGACGTTTGTATTGCAAAAACCCGTGCATGTCAACGTCCAGTACTCCCTTTGCCAATGGACGAATCCTGAGCCCTCCACGTGCTCCCGCAGATGCGGCCCAGCGTGGTGCTGCGCCTCAAGCGCTTGCACGAGGTGGGCGAGGATGGTGGACCGCACAGTGTTCACCGGGAGTTTTGCAGGGAAAGTTCGAAGTGGTCGACCTGTACCCGGACACGACCTGTCTGGAAGCATATGCCGCCCCAGAGGGAGATGGCGCCCCAACTCACAAGGTCACCTACCTCAAATGATCGGCAAATATGACAGTCCCATGGAGTATCTATAGTTTGTTCAGATATGGAGTACATGTTCTTCAGATAGGAATTGCTTTACGACCTGAGTTGGTGAGTCCATTTGCTCGTTTGGGCTTGAGCCAGACAAGCAGCAATGTGAGGGTTGGATGTGCATTCACCAAAAGCATCGGGATGAAGGGGCGTTCCTTCTTGACCCACACGCGCCTGACGACTTGCACGGACCTTCGCTCCAGAGAGATCGACCTTCGCTCCACGGCGCTGCCACGGGTCATCGGGCGCTGCGCACGCTGCGACTCAACGAGGCTTGCCACAAGAACGACCTCGCCGGCATCCAGCGAAGCCTCGAAGAGGCGGAAGACGTCGAAAGCGGCGATCGATCGGTCAGAAGGCGCTTGACGAAGGTGCTTCCACCGGTGCTTCTTCCACGGACACGCAACTGGGGGGGGTTCCGACTCCATGTGTGCACCATGTCCCTCGCCATGGTGTCCGAACAGAAATGGTGTCCGAGAGAGCTTGACTGAAAGAAACGCGATCTGTTAGGTTTGTTTCATTACAGGGGACCCTTGGCTGCAGCTCATCTGTGGAAAACCACCTCTTCAACAGGCTGATGTGACAAGAAAGCCCCTTATGATTCAAATTGACGGTTTCATGAATGTTCGATGATGTTCTTTTATCAATCTGGATTACAGAGCCAGGCCCAACCCATCTCTTGTGTTCTCTTTGTCAATCATTCAGGCAACACATGGAAATTCTCGGATACGTTCCACGCCTCATTTCGGCACACCCGTTCTGCTACGCATACGTTCAGTCCACGCCGCCTCAGGGTGCCCCGGTGAATGGCTGGGACGAGTCGGGGTGGACGGCATTGCACTACAGTGCCTGGGCCGGTTGGTCGGATCGCTTGGAACCCGGTGACGGAGGGATGACTAGTTGCCCGGTCAGGTGAGGCGTGGAGCTTGGGGTGGTTGGAACCGTTTTGCCAGACATGTTGGATGGATCGGTGGATGTGTTGTGCCACTCGAATGAATCGGAAGTCATGACAAAGACATGCCAGAGGTAAAAAAAGAGACTTGGTTCGGCCCACTTTACAAGAAGGTTTTGGCCAAACTATGCGAGAGTTGCTGTCAAAACTTCATAAAGATCCATAACATCTCGAAGAGCTGGCTTGGAATGATGTTGTTTGCCAAAATTTGTGCAATTCAACCCATGGCCGTTACGTTGTTTCTCCTGAGGGCCTCACTACCACAATGTATGGAAGCCAAGACATGATAATAATGCACGGCCATGCCGCCCATGCGTTGATCGTTTCTGAAAAGCCTTTCTCTTAGGATGGTCGTAACCTCAATCTCCGTCATCTTTGCCCATGAGCGACGCCCATCCCAGCGGCGCTTCGATCCCTCCCGCGGGCGCGCAGTTCGCAGAGAACGTCTGAGGTGCCTTTGCGGGATCCACCGAGGCGACCGGGGCGACCGGGACGAAGTGGGTGGAGAACGAGGGTGTCTCCCTTGACGAACCAGGGTGGATGGTGTCCAGTCCACCACTTCACTGTCCAAGGGAGTGAGTCAGAGTGTCAGGTCTATGAGATTGTCCGGTGTATTTGTGCTGGTTTCTTCCTTGTAGGCACTGAAGCACTCATCGGGAAGGTCTGAAACCCTGGCACTGGGAAGTGCCGTTCGTCCCAACGTCCATCGCCTGTCACATACCGATGTGTCTCCACACCGCACTCTCCCGCCTTTCTTCGCCGCGGGAACCGCACGAACCACAGGCGACGCGCATGCTTCTGGAGAATCAAGGCGATTGCAACTCTGCCCCGGAGCTCAGTGGACAAGCGACGCAGCGCGAAGCCACGTCGCAGGTGGCGCGACGGTGCCGGGGCGGAGCGACGGAAGGTCGAAGGTGGTCGCTTCAAATGGGTGGTTGACCAGTGGCGTCGAGGGGAACAAGTCTTTTGGCGCAGAGCAGCAGCTGGAGTTGGACAAAATCTCCCGGATCATAGTACTTGACTTCTAACTGGACCTGGCTTTGCATCGTCAGAACTTGCTACTATTGCTGGAGCAGGTTATTGGCAGTAGTATAAAAGTGGGTTGTATACTAGTCGGTTCTGTCACTGAATCCTGTCATCCAACAAAAAGTACAGGCCGCCCTCGTCCGCCAGACAAATCTCCGAACCCTGGATGAGGACACTCCGATCCGTAAAGAGATCTATTGGTTATTGGACCTATTTAAAGTGTTGTGTAGACATTCTGTATTGCAGTTAAACAAAAACATAACATGCAAAACCAGCCAAAGCCGAGAGTGTGTTGTTGTTTTTGAGTTCCTACAGAAAAGATAGTCTCTAAAACTTGCTACGCCGCAAGTAAAGGATTAGACAAGGAGTAGTGGAGTATTGTAAAACATTTATAAATCAAAAGACGTTCCCCAAATGAACACCTCCCTAGAAAACTTCTGGGAGTTTGTTTCAATTGGGACAACGACAGCCCCAATTACAAGTCTGTAGATTGCCGATTCTGAAGCATCGTATTCAGGGCATCTAAGTCGTAGTAAGCAAGGAGTCCTTACCTTCAATCGATCTGGACGTAGAATGAAGGACCTGAGAATCCTTTGCCAAAGAGCCGGAAGACAGATTTTCAGGCACTGACGTTTTGCCTTCTCCCTGACATCACCCAACACACAAGTGCCATTCATGTGGACAAAACAAGACGACCATCATCCCACCTGACTTATTGAATCGATTCTTGCCCGGGAGTCGGTTTTCTTGGGGCCGATGCCGATGCCAACGGGCGCTTGCTTGAACCAAGCGTGAAACCGCTCGTGTCCAGCGTGTCCAGCCGAGGTGCTGCCGGATCTCTCGACGCCTTTGATGCTGGCGGTGGATGAGGACCGGACGGACCCGCGACGGTCCTCGGGTCCGAATGGAGGCGTTGTCCGAATGGAGTCGGAATGAGTGGGGGGTGGAGACTCCTGATCAATAGAAACGAAACACTCAGATGGATTGTGAAACCTCTTCATGATCTTTATACCTCCGGGGGAGTGTTTTATTCATCAGCCATCTACATGAAGGCACAGGCAAGAGGCGAGGAAGCTGAGAGTTAAGCTGAGTCAGTGAGTCGGTCCTCGGCGCACAGTCTAGAGGCTGTTCACAGTCTAGAGACTGACATTTGTTGGACATCTTGATCATTGGACCCCAAGATCTCTATCCTTAAGTTCGTAGAAGGTGCTTCGGGATGCAAGAGTTGTCCTCAAGAGTTTCGTTCTAAACCTCCGCCCAGTGCCTCAAAAAGAAAGCTACGACACACCCACCCCAGTCCTACCAAACCAAAATGAAGCTACCACTGGAGCCAGGCAGACCCACCCCCGACGACCCAGTAGACCCACCCCCGACGTTGGTCCGCTTTGTGTCTTCTCTCGTCACCTCTATACTGTCGACTGCCTCATCAGGATGGTCTATGTTAGCATGGCCTTATCAGGAGAAAAGGGTTGCTTTGGAGGTGAGTATCTGAGGCATTCTCGCAGCTGGATTGGATGTGTTCAACTTGCCGACCTGGAGAGCGTTTGAGATCCAAAGCCGGAAGGCCTCCTTTGGAGATCTCCAAATTTAACGATGTTGCCTGAACTGGACTCTGGGAAAGGATTTCCAGTGAGCCTTTGCGTATAAGCTCAACCACAGGCGTAATCCCCAGGACTCTGCGGATCGTGCGATGACGGTCTTTACTTTCCGAAACTGGGTCAATCCCCAAAACTGGCGAAGACGTCCAGCTTCTTTTTCCCAGCTTCCGGACCAGCAAATCCCAGCAAAACACATGGCAAATCCCAGCGGCCACAAGCGGTATTCGTCCCCCTGCTTAGAATCCTGCAGTCTTATTACACACCCTGGAACAAACATGGAAGTGGATGGCATGGCCCCTTGGAAGACCATGAAATCCTCTCCAAACCGGAGGGTTGGCCGTCCACTTCCATGTGAGTTCCCAGGCAGAGTAGATCACAAATGAATGCATCCACCCGGTGAGCGCTTTGACGGTGAGGCGCATTTGTCGGTGGCCAAATTGCTGTTGCAGCATGGCGCCTTGTCCAAGTGCAAGGACGAGGCGGAACACGTGCGTGCTTGAGCAGATCTGTGATCTGTAGATGTTGTTGTTGAAGAACCATGAAAGTGAAACGGCAGTGCCTTGAAAATGCGGTCCACTCCACTCGGTGTGATGGAGGTTTCAGCAAGAGATCACCATTCTTGAAATCCCACAATTGATTTCTCTTTAGAGCTCATCAAACACGGGACACCATGTATTTTGGCTTCCACCCTCCACACACTCTTTGACCAAAACACATGGTCTCCAATGGAAACCAGGCTTCCGGCGACTTCCAGCGGTGTTCACGGGGCTTCGATGGATGAAACCGGGAATCTGGAGACTGGAAACCAGGCTTCGAAGATGACTCCCTGATTGGCCAACTGTGGAAGTGGATGGCCTGGACCGAGGTCAGGAAGACTACCTTGAGTACGGTCCTTTTCACCAAAGAGGGTGGTGAACTGCAGGGAGGTAAGCCACGTGGACGGATCCGTCGACGTCGCGGCCCGCCAGGATGGCTTCACTGCATTGGCCCGCTGCGATCCCAGTGTGAAGGCGCACAGCCCAGTGGTTCGAGCATCGGGGTGTTTCAAACCGCTCGTGTTCAAGGTGGGATGAAGCAAGAGAAAGGTACAGGACACATATAGTCAAGGTGTTTATGATCGGAGGACTGCAATCATCTACAAACGAGGTTGGAGTCTACTTCCTGAGTGTTCGTGGAGCTCAACCAGTAAGCGCAGCAAAAAGCTGGTCCCGGAGTCTTCCACATGCAACCTCCCTTCAGATTGGACCTCTCAGCTGTGCAGAAACCATCCATTCGTACCACCAAACCGGACATCGAACCCACCGGGCGAAGCCACCGGGCCATGTCAACCCACCGGGCAGACGAACGTCCAGCGTCCGCGCCCAGGAGGAGTTCCGGATCCTGGTCTCCGGCGCCGAGCTCTCGCGCTGACGGCGCGGAGCCCGTTCCGCGCGATCGGCGCGGGATCGGTGGGGGAGGAGGAGGGGCAATTCCTCAGTTGATGGACCTCCGATCGGAGAGAAGTTCGACGTTCAGGTTCTGTTTGGTCTTTCGGAGTGAGCTCTTTCCGTTGCTGTTGGCGTCTTCGGTGCGCTGCAGCGTTTGCAGGTGAAGCATTGCTGTGGCTGATTGTGGCTGTACATAGCGCCATGTCTGAAGACTGCGCGTGGTCCTGTTTGCGAATTGGGTGCAAAAAGGGGCTGACCATGACACTGGGACACTGGCTAGCGCTTTTTCGCATTCCGGAAAGTTCCACTCACCCAGTTTAGGCCACAATGGAGCCATTCGGGGCTTGGGATATGATCCAGTCACCAAGAGTTCACCAGGCACAGAAGCCGGTGAGCATAATTAAGGAAAGACAATTTTTGGAAAGATTTGGAAAGAGACCAATCTTTGGAGTTCCTCAAGCACGAGGAACTCCTTTTTGGAGGGCTTTGGTCTCTCTTTCCAAGTCCTTCCTGCCCTCAAACCATGTTCAACTCCTTTCGGAAGGGACCCGTCGCATCGCACCGGAGTGGACCTCTTTTTTTTCGGATTGCCTTCTTCGGTCGGAAAGAGCATGTACCAAGGTGGAGTTACTAGTAGTTTCTTGCTACGTTCGTAGCAATGGCCTCCACCCTACTAGCGATGGCCTCCAACCTAATAGCGATGGCCTGTTCAGAAAACAGATTCTCGAAGAAGATCTTCACCGCAAACACCGATGGTGGTCGCAAACAACTCACCCTGTGAGCGAAGGCGTTTGACCATTTTCTGCGTTCGCTCACGTCGGCCGACACTGTGTTCACTGGACAAGGCCGAACAAGGACTTGTGTGCTTTGAGCCAAAGAAGAACGCTGTGGGCAAAGAGTTATATGGGTATATGTGAGGGTTTACCCTCCTTCTAAGGCCTGTGGGTGTTTTTTGTTAAGGGGTCAAAGCAAGTGCAAGAATGGATTTTATGTCAACTGATGAGGTTGAATCCGAAACTGCCAACCCCCAAACAGATTTTTCTGATCGGGTGAACAGTGCATATTTGTGCAGCGTTGCTTCGCCTGCAGAACTCTTGGCTCCAATTAGGTCCTTCTGTAGCCTGCCATGATGGCAGGCTTCTGAAGGGCGATTTCCACCATGGGAATCTCCGCCATTATGGCTTCTTTCTTCGCGGGAAGCAATCATGTCGCCGAAAAGAGTTGGACACAATGGCGACATCATCGAAGCCCGCGGTCCTCCCGCTGGCAGCGGAGGGAAAGAGCAAGGACCTGCCACTGGGCAGAAGTGGGATGATTCAAGCCGGTCATAGTGGGAGCTTCATAGTCTAGCTGTCCTTGTCTCCTGAGATACTCCCCAAGATCAGCCACAGGCCACTGGTCGTGCCACAAGCAAGTTTCATGAGTTGCAGTTCCCACCGGCCACATGCGCGGAGTTTGACCAACCAACCTAGCCATGGCCTCCTGGGCTGGCTGTAGCTAGCGATGGCCTCCGCCGGCCGTTCTCACCGGTCGCACGGGTCCAAGGTACGCGATCTTGGAGGTAGATCGCTCGGTGGGCGTGGAGGCTCTACGGGCCGCCTACCGTAGGGCCGTCCGTCGAGCGCATCCCGACAAGGGCGGCAGTGCGGAGGCACCTGGAGGGAGGGTGGAAGGTGGTTTGCACGAGAAGTGGTGAAACCTGAGTGGTCTTGACTCTTGAGTAGTAAAGAGATCGATTCATATAGTAAAACTGTGTATAACTCACCGGCCTATCGAAACGAGTGACATGGGTTGTCAGTGGGAGATCACTTCCATGCAGACAGTTTTTTGCTAGAACAACGTGGGATGTATGTGTGTTAATTTGAAGGGATTGGGACTTCAACCCGTTTTACCCCCTTTGGGTGTTTTTTTCCCTTTCACCTGACTTGTTGGCGTGTTTTTTACCATGTTCTATGCTCGTGCGCCCAGACCACAGGCCTTTCTGGCTGTGGCGCGTGCCTTTGATGCTTGGAAACGAAAAAGACCGAACCGCGGGGGACCCAGACGCGTTGGAGAAGATGGAGGGACCAACGCTGCCCTCCACTGCCACCGATTCTAGTCCACCACGACCCCAGGGGTAAAGTGAGTCGCGCTGGAATCTCGTGGGTCGGCTTCAAACTAGCTCGAAGAAAGCGGAGCGTTTGGCCCATCCAAAGGATCCAAAGGCAGAGGAAAGTGGCATTGGAAATGTGGAGATTTGCTGCGGCTTGCTTTTTCCTACATCAGAATGACTCAATGACCATCAAGTAGATAAACATTGACATGGCTTCAAGTCTAAGACAACGCGCGGATGATGCTTTTGCCTTCTTGCCAATGGTTTTGCTGTTTTGTCTCCAGCTTCTCTCATGTCATTCGAACCTGCAATTCACCACAGCCTTTTCGCGCCAAACAAAACAAAATACACTCCGTGGAACAATCATGAAAGTGGAGTGAAAGCCACCTGTTTGGTATTCGGATTTCATGGTCATCCGAACTCGTGGCATGTTCGCATCCTTTCGGTCACCCAATTGGCACTTCCTTCCAAAAGACCCCCATCAACTACCTTGCCAACTGAGGAGATCTTATCAAACCCAGCTTCCAGGAGCTGTGGTGGGTGGGAGCCGCTACAGCGGGCTCGGTCCGCCAGCTGAGGGGGATGGGTACTTGGCCCGGAGCCCTGGCGGTTTACATGTAGTCTGTTCAATGGAACTGGTGGTCCAGTTCCATCTGGGTTTCCAACCCACTGCGGCAGCCTGACTTATACATTTCAGCATTGCTTTTTTCAACCCCAGCAGTCATGGCGCAGTGCCATTCTTTGGATCCGATCCCCAGATCGTTTCGCCTCATCCCATCCCCGGTGCGGAAAATGGCACCGTGGACCTCAGTCAGAACCCTCGCAGCGGACCCGATGTCAGTGGACTTGGAAAGAACGAAACACGTGAAACACGTGAAACGAAGACACATCGTTTTTGGACATTGAGCAACCGAAGCATACGGAAAAACATGTTCTCAGTTCAGCTGGCGTTCCATGCTTTTCACTTCAACCAGCGACATGGCCAGAAAGACGGCATCTCTCGGATTCGGATTATTCGGATTCTCCTGGGTGGTTTTGTTCAACGGCCGAAGAAAAAAAAGAACCGTGCGGCATTTCCCGTACAGGTTGGATGCATCTCGAACTGTCTCAAGATTTTGTGGTACTACTCGTTTACTGACGCTGGATTCAATGTCTATGTGGGCTGAAAGTGAAAGGAGCAGTGACTTCCGAGTTGATCGAGCTAGCAGACTATACCCAGTTCTAGAGCGGAGGTGGAAAACCACATCCGCATCCGGAATTCAACAGGCCTTTCCGAACCTGCAATCGAAACGTCACATGAAAGAAGAACAAAGACCCCCGCCAAATCCCATGCTGCTTCAAATCCCCAGCTCTTCAACTTGGTCTCAGCTTCCACAAACTGAACCAGGCAAGTAAGCACCACGTCACCCGGCGTTGCTCGCGCCGGTTGTGAGGAGTTCCTATGACCAAGAGCTCGCCACACCGCGAGTCGCCAAGCGATGCCGAGACGACGAGATCCGCGGGTCTTCAGCGCGTCGCAAACGGTCGCAGGAGGAGTACCGACTGCAGGAGTGTCGTGTGGCATCATGGGAGTGCGGTGCTGAGACTGGTCTTTTGGGCGGATCAAACTTTGCATCTTTGAAGCTCCTTATACCCTGGTCACCCATTTGGTGTGCAGGGCATGTAGCACCAAACCATAATATTACAAGTTGTTATATTTAGGTTAAAGCCCTTCAAGGGATCTAGGGACAGAAGAGTTCTTGGTTGTGAGATGTTGTGAGATACTCTCTGCAGATCTGCGACGCGTTCGTGTGGCAGACTAGTGGGTCATTGGCGTTGGCTGGGCGGGATCGTTGGGGCGATGCCCTCACCCATACTGTGGTCACGATGATTTTGTAGGGGCCCCTTTCTTGAATGATCGAGCAAGTAAACTAAGGTCAACTGTTGAAAGTCCAACATATCCTGCCTTTTCTTGTAGTGTGCCTTACAGTGACGTTGAGATGCATTGAGGCTTCACCTATTTGCCGGCAGTTTTCATCATGAGATCAGCTTCCTCTCACACTTTGCTGCTGAAATCGAGCTCTTTTGGTCTTCTCTTCCATGCGTTTCTGGCGCCGGAGTGGAGCTCTCCCTCCACAAACCGCTTCCGTCTCCCTCCGTCTCCTGGCAGGAGTCGCTGTCGAGGCTCCGAGAGGTTCTGCAATCGATGGAGCTTTGTAGTCGAAAGCGTGGGATCTCCACTCTGCCCATGGACGCCTGGCCGAGCAGAGAGCACGCGACGAGCTCGGAGCGATCGGACGCGAGCCGAACGTCACAAAGGGCATCGCTACCGAGAGAGTACGACAGATGATCCAACCTGCGGTGGCCAGTTTGGCGCGTGCGGTTCCACGTGCCAACAGGGTGGGATGATTGCAGTTCTTTTATCCTAGAGAGTCTGGACTCATGTCCATACACCCAATGGAACTCAAGAAAGAATCAACTACCTATGGAACCCAACACCTACGAATTTGGCTTGTTTCTTTTATGGAAAACATTGTGTTTGGGCTCCACTTGAATCAAATACATTGCGTTTCTGTGTCCAAAAGCACGAAGTTTGGAACCGGTATGAAGATCGTAGAATCCCGTAGCAATCGTATGTATTTGTTTACGAAGTCAACAAAACTCGTGTGTTCTTGAAAAACTTCATGTTTTTTTCAGGGTATGATATTTTTAGGGGTTCTTGGTTCTCTAGGTATGAAGAAATATGGAGAAACCCAACCATGTCCCTTCCAAACCGTCCCAAAAAAAAAGAAAAGGCATCGCAACAAGAATGGTGCTTCTTTCTCCGGTGCCGGCATGCGTCTGCTCCGTGCGAGGACATCAAGACGCATCTCGCCCAGTTCATGGCTGACGCGACCCCCACGGACGCCGTCCACACCGCGGTGGACGGTCGGACAGCGCTGTCCAGCTCGCTTCGACTTCGAGCAATGTCAGTGGCTTGGTGGAAAGAGGAAGGTCTCCTGTGGACCTGGGCATTTGGAGCTCGGACCTTGGGGAGTTGAAACCGGAAGAGGAGTCCTTTCTGGGACAGCGAGTCCTTAACATCACCGTTTCTATCGTTTTTTGATTCACAACAGAATAATTCTGGCTTATTTGTATCGTGAAAAGCGAGTGTCCCAGCTCTAGCGACTCTGGACAAGGTTCAGAAATCGTGCTTCATGAAGTTTTGTATGACAGCCAGGGCAGTGGGATTATCTAAGCCAAAGTGAGAAGAAGCTTTAGGTGGGCCACGTAGGCCGGAAGCCTTGCTGGTCACGTGGGTCTTCCCTGTTTTGAGACGTTTCTCGCCTCATACAGGGCTGGGCCGTTTTCCAGCACCCCCACATGCCCACGTGCCGGGTGTGTTTTCAGTGAATGAGGAGTCATTTTTAGAGGCGAAGATGGCGCACTGCGCGTATGGCGCACCGCGCTGAGGTGAAAGGGTGCAAGAAGTACAGTGCGCAGATGGATCTTGCCGCCTGGCGAAAAAGCGGAGGGATCGAGCGCATGGATCGATCTGTGTGGCGTGATGATCGATCTGTGTGGCACATGTTCGTTATGTAGAATCTTGTTAAAACCAAACCGCTCATGTGAAGAGGTGTTTACAATCCAAATGATTTGTTACTGATCAAGATTCAACATGAGAAAGAAATCTAGCATGCACACAAGAGGATTTTGCTTAACCTGACCTCAAGGCATGCTGGGCATCTCACCAGCCTCAGAGGATGCATGTGTTAGCCCTGCTTTGACTGACTAAGGTACTATTAAAGAACAAAAGAATACATCTTGGGACTAAAGCTTGTCCATAACTATTTGTAAAACAAACGGCAGCTCACCGCTTTGGTTACAAACTGGAAATCTACACGGCGAAGTCTGTTCGCCGGGACTCACAACGATCACAATGGCCAACCCACTTTGTTTAAGTTTGGATCCGACACCAAATCTCATAAGCCCTCTTCAAGGACCGTCCAGCTGTTGGCCAGGTCATGGTGACCTTTCGCTGGGACAGAGCTTGGTCCTATTGTTCTTTCATCCCTTCTGCTCTTGGTTCTCGGAATCGCCAGCTCACATCCCCGTCCCCCATCCCCCCCGTCCCCCCCCAACCGAAGGGCCAATTGGCCTTCGCTCAGAACGGGTGCCGGGCCGGTCGTCCGCTCCGAGCGAGGACTGCTTGCGCAGCTACACGCGCCACGTGGCCTTCGACGTGGCCCTGGAGCAGCAGCTCATCCTCTCGGATCTCAGGGACAAGCGTCTCGGCCGCGCGGTGCGCGCGCCGCTCGCGCAAGGTGAAGCGGTTTTGAGCACCGCTCGCGCTGGGCAAAACGGTGATGTGCAGGGAGGATGGTTCGTTGAGGGTAGTTGTTACTGGGCATTGGAATTGTTGATAGGACTTTTGCTCATCACTCCCAAAATTTGCGGATGAACAGCCAACTGGTTATGAGAGGGTGCAAGGTCTGATTCTTGAAGAATTCTGCACTAACACATTGGAAGGGCTTCTCGAACGCCCATCCACACCGATCGTTTCTGCCTGCAATCCCATGTCTCGTCGACCGGACGCGAATCCAACTCCAACGACCGGACTTCAGCGGAATCACGTCCTCTACTAGCGATGGCCAACTTCGGCACCGGAACAAGCATTTGTTTTTGGTTGGGACTGAGTTTCCATCAAGGTTTAGTTGAAGCATGCAGAGTCCACCGTGGCAGTGGGTCATGGTGACCTTGCTCCAGGCCCCCTGGTAGGTTTGACCCTGTCTGGTAATCCATTCTGTTCATTTTCCGTGGTCAACCGGTCGGTTGCCCGGTGCCATGGACCTCACAGCTGCATCGCTCGCGAACGACCTGGATACTTGGAACACAACCAGCTGTTGTTGTCAAAGGGAAAGAATCTGGTCAGCAAACGGACTGCCCAGAAGTCTTTTGGACCCGAATTCGCTGCGCGAAAGGGTTTCCCTCCTCCCGGGCCTGAAGATTTGTTGTTGAAATAGTTTTTTAGGTTGGAGGCCATCGCATCTAGGTTGGAGGTCATCGTTATTAGGCACTTCCAGGGTAGAGAGGTCGACCTCACCACGCGTCCAAGGCTTTTCATGGCAGATGAGGTCGACCCGTCGATCTGGGCGCCACCCTTCAAGGCTGGTGTTCAAATCCCGGCGTCGATCTTGGCGTCGAGGAGATGATGTTTCTCTTGCAAATCTGGAGAAGACCTGGTTGAAGTACCCCCCGAAAAGGTGCATTCTAATTGAAAGGCGCTAGCCCAATCTGTATTCAACTGAACAACAGATCATGACCGCTTGGTCGAGAATTCTGTCGTCTTTAAGGCATGCCTCTTCATCATCAAGATCCTTGCTTTCCCTCCCAGAAGTTGAGCCCAAATCGCATTTTCAGGCTAAGCTTTGGGTTCTAGCAGATGCAGGTACTCCTTGCAGTCCATGTTGGAAAGTCTCGCCTGTGTGCAGGTCTGCGAGATCATCCGACACGTTCTTGCAGCACATGGGACATGCGAAAAGCAGCTGGGTCTCAGCGTCTTTGTCCAGCTGCGAGCATCTGAGTGGGTGGCTCGGCAAAATCTTCTGCGATCCTCGTCTTCTCGCTTCAAGGTAAGCCAATGGAACCGTCTACCAATGGTATGCCTGAAAATACCTGGGATGCCGGTGTTGAGCTTTAACGCTCAGGGACAAATGTGAATAGAGGGTGTGTGACTGGCTTTTTGTCCGTGAAGCATTACAATCAACAACAGTTGATTTACCCCTTGTTAAGAGCCAGTATGGTCAAATACGGTTTTGACTGTTTGCTTGGCAGGCTGTTCAGCCAAACGTGTCTGGTCTGGTTGACTACTTCAGGCTTCAGGCAGACAATAGTTAATGTTTTTGGCCATCTTCACAAAACACTCTTGGGTCAGCTGTGGATCGAATTAACAAGTCCAATCGTGGTGGCAGGTGTGGGATGGTCAAGTGTCACACCCTCAATGTTTTATATTTATAGTACGAGAAGGTTTACGGTGTGAGAAATGACCGCCCACACCATCCCAGGTCAGATTGTGTAGGATTCTAGGGGAAAGGATTGTAGGAACTTCAAGAAGCGCAACTTTTGTTTGGCAACTTGCTCCCCCCAAGAGTTTGTGCCTTATGAGTTGGGCCTTTGTGAGAACGGATACCGATTCCACATGTTTGCTCCCTCTTTACATATATGGGTCTTTCAATCGGGGGACCGACCGGTTGACCACAGAAATCTGAGCAGAATGGCCTACCAGGGAAGTCAAGTTGTACCAGGATGAAACGGGCTCCAAGTTTTGACCCACCATAAAACTCATGAAGATACCCATTCGATCATCCTTTGATCCGCGACGCGGACCTACATGTCAAGCTATCAAGTCCGGCAGAGACCGAGCGAAGGCGCAATTCCCCGGTGTCCCGTGACTTTTAGACTCCATGCGCCAGAAACCGGTGAAGTCAATGACTTTAACTGCCCCATAGTTGCCATAGTCATTGAAAAATGGACTGGCGTACAGACCGCGATTTCGGGTCCAGAAAACAAACAGACTTGGGCTAAGAGGCTCCCTCTCTCTGCATTCCAAACAAAAACTTTGTGAAGGATGGGTGACCTTCCGTCTTTCACAATTGAAAAAGACACCCCAAAAGAGTCCGAGCGAAATCCAGGGATCCGTGACCAAGACCCAAAATCCATTCGAAACCACTCCTGAACCGCAGGAAATGTCCTTCAATATCTTAGCCATGTCTGGACAAGGAAGAGTCCGAATCTCGAGTCCTGAGTGGGTCAAACAGTCAGACGGACAGACGCATGTTCATCTCCGGAACCCGACGCTTACGCCGCACACCGTCCCCTCGCCGGGAAACGTCACAACGTCACTACACACCCCGATTCGAGGCGATCCCAAAACGTCACAAGCCTCAGCCTCCAAGGTGGCCAACCGCTACAGTTTGACCAGTCCGGTGATGTGCTTCGCCAAGGCGGTGAAGCTCCGCTGGCGCCTGAAGAGCGCGCGGACCTGGCCCGAGCTGCGCGAGGAGCGCTTGGCCGGGCTCAACAGCGGGAAAGGAGAGTGTTTTTTAGGATCCATTTTGGGTGAATTGTGGTCAATTTAAGTCCAGCGCAGCTTTTCCGTGCTGGAGCTCAATCTGCAAACAGCAACCCTTCTTGAGCATTGATGCATCTTGAAAAGTGCAGCAAAGAATGAGGAAGCGAGCTGGTTGGGAAACATGGAGCTGTTCTGCTGTGATACTCGGGGTGGCTGGTCAGGTGCAGGTGGACCCTGAACAGCTCAGGGAAACATATCTGAGATTGGTATCAACTGATGGGATGTGTCTCTGACAATATGTCTTTATGATATGTCTCTTTAGAATTGCTTGGTATATTGTATTTATCGAATGTGACAACTGTGACAATGAGAATGGTGAGGACATGTTTGTTTGGGAATGTGGTGTCGTGGAATCGGTTGTGTCGAAGTTTTTGGGTTTTCTGGACCCCCAGCTTCTTTCATCTTCCCTTTCAGCTAAGTGCTCTTGGAGTGATCTCGAAGTCCATGACAGTCCATGGGGGCGATGTTCGATAGATCTATGATCCGTTTCACCAAGATACTTCTGCGATAGATCACGCAATCCTGCTGGCTTGATACCAAGATTGTTTCAAGGTAAACCAAGCCAATATTGAAACCATCAAAATAGATTAAGATAGATGGACCATCAAACCATCAAGATAGAGAGGGCAATGAACAGTTTCTCGTGTCGAAACGGTGAGGGTGGGTGCGATCAGTGCGCAGATCATGACGGTTTTTCTGAAAAGGTCTGGGGCTTCAAGGGATGGTGGTTGTCACATTTTTTGACTCATCCTACATCCCCATCTTGGCACTGCCAATTGACCTGGAACGAAGAGTCTTCACATCCAACAGGCACCTCCCCAATTGGGTGCTCTTTGAGAGCGAACTCCTCCTCTTCCACACGCGCCTGACCTGGCCGCAGGAGTGGCTGCAACTGCTGCAGAGCGGACGTCGGAGGCTGGACGAGGCAGCTGCCGTGCAGTTGGTGGACGCCGCGCGGCGGCAGTTTTTGCAGCAGAAGTTCCAGAAGGCCGTGACCAAGGCGTGACGCGACCGATGGTGCGGTTGAGGGGTGCGGTGGAGGTTTGTCCGGACCAAGGTCGTTTAATGTCAATCGTTCTTAATATGACACCAAAATGCTCCTAGTAGCGTCCGATCGCTCCTAGTAGCGAGGCCAGGAGCCCCGTTCGGAGCGTCCGATCGCTCCTTCGAAAGATTGTGTTCACCTTTTGCCAATGGTCATTTGCTTGGACTTTCTTGACCTTTGGCCAAGACCTGAGAGTTGGGGCCGCGGTCTCCGGTCCCACTCTTTGGGGCCACCCGGCGAAACGCGCTCCGCCGAAGTCTCCGCAGGTGTCACAGGCCCTGGACGTACAAACGCGCACGAAGATGCCCAAGATCTCCGAGCCGCCGCAGGCGCTGGGGTGGGCGGCCCTTGCGTCACGGTGGATGTTGGTAGAGCAGAAGTAGGAGAATGGGAAGCCTTCAGGAGAACTCTGAGGAGTATAGGGTGGTCTTTGCGGTTTACTAGGTTCTACTACTGGGCTGTGCTTTGGTATGTGCTTTTGTTGCCTGGGTTTTTGGCCCTGTCAACATGATGACTGGTGATCTGAAAACCCATGTCCTATGATGACCCTAAAATTGAAAATTTGTACCTTTCTTTGGCTCTGTGAATATGATAGCCCAAAGGCTTCAAGGTTAAAAACCTGTGGCATAGAAATAACTTTGATCCCATAAATTTTCAAAGAAATAAATGCCAAATGTTTTGTGTCAAACAGTGGGAGTCTTTTTGATCACTTTGGTGATATCTTGCTTTCATTAAAAGTTGAGAGATGATTCAACTTGTTTTTTGGAAAGTTGGTGGCATGTGGAAGCCTGACTTTAAAAAGGCATGGCTTTTGACAGTAGAATGTCTGGAAATTTTGGTATGTTTTTTGTGGTTTTTCAGAGGACATCTTACAAACAGTTTGACAGGCGCAGACAAAACAATACACAAACGTCATCAAACGTCCTGAGAAATCAGCTATTGCGATCCACAGGCAGGAACCACACAGTGCTTGCCAAACGACTTTGGAGCGTTTTTGAGCAAACACACTTTTGAACATGATATCCTTAGCATTGAATTAGAACATTTGCGGTTCAAGGTGTCTCAAAACACGGAGAGGGAGGCATGCGTTTTACTCAAGAGGGTGCTGAAAAAGCGCCATCAATATCCATCAACAACGGTGCTGCGCAAGCGCCAGGCCAGCCACAAGTGGTGCTGAACAAGCGCCATTGGTGTAGACCTCAGATGCCAGAACAGCGCATCACTTTCCGGTCGGGAGCCTCATTGGGTTGGAATCATGGCTGGAAGGGGTAGCGCTAACAGCACTCTCTTTGAAACAGTGTTGAGTGACACCAGCGCTTCTTCAGCACACGGACCAAGTTATTTGATGAGCTGGGCATGTTTTCACCCCCATCCATTGCCAACCAAACAACAGAGGTATGATAAGCATGAGGCCTGAAATCAATCTATAGTCAAAAGTCGCGCCAACTCCCCTGAGAAATGGGTATCATACCCTTGTGCTTGTTACTACACCACATGTGGACTCGATATCTCAAGCCTTGCTCAAATCCACACCTCTGGATAAAACCATGAATATTTTGGCGCTTGTTCAGCACCGTCCAAATCCATGTTGGCCCCCAGAGACCTGGGAATATGATCAATCTATTCAATCCTACCCTGGAAAAAACGGAAAAATGGACCCCTTCTTAAAATAGAGAGCGCGAGCCGCCTTTTGACCCAAAAGGCGGCTCGATAGCAATTTGTTTACTTGACGCAACGGCGTCCAAAAGTTGACGCGTTTGCACCCTCTATCAGGCTTCCAAAAATCTCATCAACCCCTCCACTTGACATTGAACCAACGGCGTCCAAACAATTGGCGCCCGCAGTCAGGCACCGACTGTTTGGCATTGCAGTGCAGTTGGAGAAGAAGGTCCTGAGCGGGACGTTAAACCAGCGAGGGTGATGTGATGTGATTCTCTGGTGTCACTTGGTGATGTTTAGCTGTTGCTTGCGCACCTATATTTCCATCCTGACGTCCGCGGCTATTTTTAAACTTAGCCTAGCTCGCATAACGGGGGGAAGTCGAGCCATGGAGAAATTGGACCAGTTTGAAGAGGCTACTTTGCTCACCAGTGAGACCACAACGGCAATTGTGGCCTGGGATGATGTGACTGACAGGTTAGACGACAATGGCCATGCCCTCCTGGCAGCGCTGGGTGTTTCTCAAGCTGAGATAGACACTGTGACCCGCATCCTGCGCAAGGTGCAGAACCGGGCTCATGACTACAAGAACGACTTGAAAGCTGAGCTTCAGACTGGTGCTGAAGCTGCCCACCCAGGACCGCGAGTATTTGAAAGCGCTTTACTGCCGGGACAAGGCGAAGCGCAGGGCTCGGAGGTGTCGGAGGGCAATCCTTAGCAGGCATGCCAACGCCAGGCTCATTGCCATTGCGCTTTCGGGCGCTCTGCGCTTGCGTGCGCTTGGGATCCCGTATGGCTGTGTGGGCTGGGTTCGGCTGCCAGGCTCACCTGATGCCAAAAAGGCACCTCCAAAGGCTTCGAAGAAGACTAAGAGGCCACGCAACGGACGCAAGTAGCAGTTCGCCATATCATTTGGCATTGGGGAAGACAGCGGCCTGTTGATCGCTGCAGTCGGGGAAAACAGTGCCCCATTCATCGCTGCTGCAATTTGCAAGTATATATTTTTGATGAGTGTGCTGATCTGTCAAGCGCCAGTATTACTATATTCTATATTACGATATTCTATATATGTTTTTCTTTGATGAGTGTGCCAACATCCATCCCATCCACCCGTGCATCCATGCCTGCTGAACGGTGCCAGGTGATTGGGGGTGATTGGGGCAATCCGGGTGGGACCGCACTCGCCTCAGTCAAATTCATTTGTCAGTGCTGGGATTTGTCAGTGTTTTTCTATGCATGCCTGGTGCTGGAAAAGCGCCAGATTTTTATCCATATAATATTCTTGGTGCTGAAAAAGCGCCAGGGTTGAGTTTTTTGGGGGAATGGGTGCTGACTGAGCAAGCGCCAGTTGTTGTCGTGATGTCAATAATGAGCTCGTCGTTCCAGAAGATCGGGCTCGACGGTTGAGAGACTCGGTGATAGTGATTGCCATGGCACATCCCTGCCTCCTTTTTAAGTGGAAGCATCTTAATACCGACCGCAACGACGAGTGGCTGCTGCTCGACCTCCTCTTGAAAAGCTGCGCCTTCAGGAGGCGCACGAGGAAGCAGAAGAAGTTTCTAGGTGATATTTTTGATGATATTTTTTAACACGAATGTTTGAGGATATTTTTGATGTATTTCATCTCGTCGTTGTCGAGGGGGGTGATTTCACTGGGGGCTGGGGAGAAGATTTTGGATCGCCGAGGGTGGCCTGGTCGCCTGCCCACGGGCACTTTGTGGTGCACATCGACATGCCGCAGGATCATGTGGAGCTTAGCTTGGAGGCTTTCCACTGCACAGGCCACTCCGAATGGGCGAAGGACCACACCTTCAGTGGCACCATCGGCAGTGGCCGCCTCACCGATGGTGTCCGCGTCCTGACCTTCAGCGGGGCATACTATGTCACCCTGGAGCACTTGGAGGAGGAGTCTGACTGGGTCCACGTCGAGCAGCTGGAATGGCAAACCCTGAGGATCAATCGCAACAAATGTCCGCGAGAGCTGGCCTCCACCCCAGCAGAACCTCAGGAGCTGGCTTTGATGCCGGCGGAGGCGGCCCTGATAGGACCAGGATCCGCCGATGAGCAGGCCTTGGCTTTGGTGCCACTGCAGGCTGATTCTGATGACACTACTCGTCACACGCCCGACGACGAGCAGGAGCCTGCCACTGCTGAGCCCTTCAGTGGCTTCGTACTGCAGGCGCAACCTGATTCTGATGACACTACTCGTCACACGCCCGACGACGAGCAGGAGCCTGCCACTGCTGAGCCCTTCAGTGGCTTCGTAGTTGTTGACTTTTGATTTTGATGGCCGGTGCAGTTGACAAATCGTCACGACATCGCTTGTGGCCGCTGCAATTGACAAAACGTCACGATGCGGCTACCCAATAAGAGCTGTTTTGGGCTGTCAGCCCCGCCGCCATGCGACACGTTGGTCTCTGACTGGCCAGCTGACTGGCGGACGCTCGAAAAACACGTCTCAGGGCCTGGACCCTTGCACTGTTGTAGCGGGGGGGTCCAGGGTTCGGTCGTGTTTTGTAAGTCTAATTTCTGATGTGACATGTGATGAGGCTGAGGCTTCCACTGCGCGGGCTGTGCAGGTGCTGGGACCACATGTTTCTTGGTGGTGGGAATGTGTGGGGCGGTGCTGGGGAAGCGCCCTTATTAGAATTAGAAGGTGTGGTAGTATTTTATTGTCTGAGCTGGTGCTGGAGAAGCGCCCTTGAAGGAAGGTGTTGGAATATT